AAAAAAAGGAAAAATAAAAAAATAAAAAAATAAGTAAAAGTACTTAGTACATATATTAACTCATTTAATTCCATTTTTTTTCTAAGTTTATAGAAGATAAGGATTAGTGAAAGCTGGGGGGGCTCATGGGAAACTGACCTTTGGTTCACCTAGTCAGCCTTACAGTAAGTATCTGCCATAATATTAATACCCCTGAAAAACTTTACATCCTACAAAATCACACAAGTAAAAATAACAGGCTCAGGAGAAAAGTAGTGTTAGAAACCAGATTACTTAAAACTGATACAGCTTTAGAAGGAGAGAACTAACAAACAATAATTGATACCTCAGGATGTAAATTAGACAGCTCAAATAGATAGTTCAAGCATGTCTGCAGGTTGTCTCAGGGGATATTAAAAATGTACAGATAGGGCTGGTTGGTAACACCAAGGTCATGTGTTCAGATCCCTTACCAGCCAGCTGCAAAAAAAAAAAAAAAAAAGGAGAAAAGAAAAATAAAAAGTTCGAACTACAAAGCAATGAAGACTGAAGTTGTGAAGTTGAGGAATTGAGCCCTTGGCCAAAGAAGTTGAGGTTAAAATGGGCAAGGGAAGAAGTGCAACTTGCCTCTAGCCTAGAGTCTGTCTAATGCTGGAGTCAGGGAGCCCAGGGTATAGTTGATCAAAACAGCTGAAAGGGCACTTGCCTTTGCATTAGCAAAACCTTTCCCTTTCCTGAAGTCTATAATACTGCTACTGCTATTCTAGCCCTTTGTGTCTAGAAAAACCTGGAGTGAAAGATGTGCCATCTCAAAGTATGCCAGAATGGTATACTGATTATTTTGAGCTGAAAGTGTTGGAGAAACTGCAGCAAACTGCAGAAAGGGCTAGCTGACCTGTCTTTTCCTGCCTGCGGCAAGTCATACAGATTCTCTGGGAAAGGTGCCCTCCCCACACCAGCGCAAGAAAATAGCCCATATCGCCAGAGACTGGGAATCAGGGTTGCAATGGGCCTGAACAAATAAATTCCACTAGTTTTATACCCCCCATATATCTCCTAGTGGCTCCCCTAGAACTTAATGCCCCTAGCCATAGCGCCTGTTTTATCATTTCTTCACAAATTTATCATTCTTTGTCTAACAAGTATAAAAGCATCTTGATTTGGCCACTTCTTCAGAATTTACTCTCTTGTGAAGATCCCCATGCACATGTAAAACGAATAAAATCTGTATGCCTTCTCTTGTTAACCAGTGTTGTGTCAATTTGGTTTCTAGATTCAGCCAAAGTGCTAACATAAGAGCTAAGGGAACAGGGTGGAGGTGATCTCTCCCTTCCCTATAAGCCGCATGTGAACAGTACAACTTTATATTATACTGCTAATTATTCCCTCATTTTTATATTTGCATATGGCTTAATTGGTGTTTTAGAAATCTGTGTTGTAGGACACTAGGCTGTACTTAGAAACATGCTAGAGTTGGTTTGTATTCTACAGAGCAGTCAGGCAGGGACTAAAGAATATAAAAATCCCCTAAGAGTGACTAAAGGGTATTTTACATGCTTAGCAGACTCATTCTATGTAGGTAGTGGCAGCAGCTGTGTTTCTTTGTAGACTCTGCGAAACTGAGAAAACTGTACCTCCAACTTAAAATATGCTGTTATCTCCTGCTTTGTATAGCTATCTCCACAAGGTAAGTTTCTATGTAGAGAAACTTTATAGCCTTTAACTGTGTTCTGTTGGAACCTTTCCACAAGCTCATGGTGGAGAGATCCAGGTAGGGGATGAGGAACAAGTTGAAAGTGACTGCTGATTTTGTTTTTTAAAATCATGCTAATGAGCCATACCGATGCAAACACATAGGTGCATCAAAGTGAGCCTCTAAAAGTTATATTGTTCCCTGAGTCCTTTTCCCCACATTCCTAGTATGTTAAGATGGTTAGTGATGAAAAAAAGAATAGTTCACTTCAACCTAGCACCAGTGCCAAACTCTGAAGGCAACTGCTCATCTAGGTGAAAGAGTCCAGCTCTAGGCCAAAATACTATGTGTTATTATTCAGGCACAGACATAGGCAATTACAAAGGTTTTGTCTGTCAGACCTCACAGGGGAGGCTGCCCTCCCCACACCAGACGTGGTGCACAATCTGTGCATTGCAATCACTGAAGGGAGATGCTGTCAAGGACTAACAACCCCCATCCCAAGCCAGCCATGCTCACATACATTTCTGCATTCCTAGCCCAGGCACCACCATTTGGATCCTCTTTACTGGGCGGCCTCAACAGAGGCATTTTTCAGGTGACTCTGCCAAGATCTCCCTATTGGTGACAGGCCTTAACTAAAATACTTTTCTCCACTCTGACTCTACTTTTCCATTCCTAGCCCTTCCCCCAGGCCCATTAAATAGCAGTGAAATGATTCCTCCATCTGGGTGCATGTAAGACTAACCCTTGCTTGGCACCATTCCATAGGGAAAAATGGAACATGGGAAGCCAGCCCTTTTCTTTTTCCCCTCTTGTTTATACTATCACAGTAAGTGAACAAAGGCTTGATTGTTGGGCCGACCCCGTGGTGCACTCAGGAGAGTGTGGCGCTGGGAGCGCAGCGGCGCTCCCACCGCGGGTTGGGATCCTATATAGGAATGGCCGGTGTGCTCACTGGCTGAGCGCGGTGTGGGCGACACCACACCAAGGGTTGCGATCCCCTTACCGGTCATGAAAAAGACAAAAAAAAAAGGCTTGATTGTTAATTTCAGTTTGGTTCATTGGCCTAACTGACCACTTGCCTGCTGCCTATCAGCTCAACCCTAGGGTGGCTACATTCTTATTTTATTTTCCCCTAGCAAAATAGAAATACTATTGAAAAATTAAATGGAATTAGTGTAATACCTTTGGTGGTCTTGCAACAGTAGACCTATATGATCATTTCTTAAGCAACTTAATTTTATAATCAACCTGTTTGCAATATTAACTCAAGTAAGAAGAGTCCATGTTCTCCCATGTTCAATTCTTAATAGCCTCATTTGATATCAAAGGTTAGTTAAAGGGTAACTTCAAATCTTGAAAAAAAAAAAAAAAACAGCAAAAAAAAAACCCTTCAGTTCCTCCAAGTAGCATTCATTCACTTATTAGTTATTAAGGAACAGAGCCATCTACAGGCAGGTTAGTAAGCATATCAGTATCCCTGATTGATTTATATGCCTTCTTTTTACTAGAATAACTGTTGAACAGTTAGTTAATATGATGGTATTCAAGTTCTTGCTTTAATATGAATTACTTTCATAACAGAAGTTATTCCTGTAAAATGCTTAAATTATATTATTTTTATAAAACAAATCAGTTTTCATAAACTCCTTTTTTTATCTTACCCCTCCCCCAAAGTCAAAGAGAGAGCTTATGCAAAAGAATACAAAAATACACTTACTTCCAGATTTACAAACAAGTGGGGTTATTTCATCTAGAGGATGCAGCATGCTGAACATAGTGGGTAACGGTTCTCTAGCAATAAACAAATAAATAATCAAACAATCACCAATATAAGATGACTATGTTTGTACACAAATTTAAGGCTGTGCTCTAACCAACTGAGCTAACCGGCCAGCCTCATTTATTCTCTTGTAATTCCTCCATTACTTCCAAAGACAATTTTCTATTTAAAATCTTTGTTCTTTATTACATCAAGCCACTATGTTTTTCTTGTTTTCATTTAAGATGAATATGTAGCCAAATCCAACACAGTGAAAACTGCTTTTAAACTGTGGAACCAGAAATACCCCTTTTTAATGTCATTTCCTCCATCACTCTGGTAGTTCCAAGCCAAGCCTCCTATGAGGTAGCATGAGATAAGCTGACAGGTAGGGCCGGCCCGGTGGCGCATTGCTACAGTGCGCCGCTTGGGAGCCAGTGGCGCTCCCGCTGAGGGTTCGGATCCCACATACAGACCGGTTCCCGCTCACTGGCTGAGCGAGGTGTGGGTGCAACACCGAGGGTTGCGATCCCGTTGCCAGTCCCGGTCCGGTACGGGCGCAAAAAGATAAGCTGACAGGTAAAAAAATAAATAGTAAAATAAAAAACCCTAATAAAAGCTGTAACTTTGGTAAAATATAATTACATACTTGATGCTTTTCTTAAGGGCTTTTTCCAGTTTCTTCACCTGTTGTTTATAAAGTATTAATTCATGCTGTGTGGGCCTGTAGAAAACAAATCATGTGAATGCATTCAATTTATTGAATAAAACTATAAAGGTACTTAATAATAAACAACAGAGGATATCATGTTACTTGTCGCAAATATGCTTATTAAAATTCTTAAAATATTTCATGACTAATAATGAGGTGTTTATTGGCCATTTGGATTTCTTCTTCTGTGTAATTCCTTACTCAAATCTTTTACTCATTTTTTATTGTTGTTAAAATATTACTTGGGTTTTTTTATTTTTCTTGTTTAAAAAAATTATTTTTATATTTATTTTTGTGTTAAATATTCCTTGTTTTTATAGTGAAATATTTCAAATATATAGACAAGAAGAGAGAATACTTGAACAAATCCTGGGATATCCACCACCCAGCTTTATCAAATGTGAATATTAACAGATTTATTTCAAAACCTTTTAAATGAAAACATTACACATATACTTAAAATTCCATGTGTTCCTCATTAACATCATTCCTCTCCCCGCCATACCATAGGTATCCACTATCCTGAACTCACTGATCATTATTCCCATGCATGTTTTAAAATTTTTACTATATATTTATGTAGCCATAAATTTAAATACTATTGTGTGGCGTATTATTATGCATGTTTCTATGGTTTACAAATTATACACTATATGGTTTACAATTATACATATTGTTATGGTTTATGCAGTAGAAATTAGGCCCCTCTCCGTTAAAGTATAAGCTTTTATGAGAACAAGAAATTTGTTTTGGTCATTGTTTTATCCCAGAGATTGGGACAAATCTTTTAACAGGTATTCAACAAATTATTTGTTGAATGAAAAGAAAAAAGTCTCGACGATGTTTTTTCCTTATTACTCACTGCCAATGTGTACAGTGTCGTGCTTTTGTAGCTATGCTACATGTATCTTTCTGTTGTGTCATTATAAACTTTTTACTTTTCTTCTCCTCCCACAACACAAGGATAAGAAGAAATAACAAGACATTCTAAACTAATTTGGGAGTGAGAAACATGGTGGCATAAGACTGAATCTAATATAGTAAATAATAATGTGTTGTACACTTCAAATCACTAACAGTAAAGTTCAAATGATTTCACACAAAAGATGATACATATTTGTAGTGATAGATATGTTAATTAGCTTGATTTAATTATTCCACATTATATTCACAAATCATAAATCACTTCATATTCCATAATTATATACAACCATAATCTGTCAATTTACAATTAAAACATAAAAATATTATGCTGACTGAAAGAAGACAAAGGGTAAATATTGTATAGCTTCATTTATATAAAGTCTAGAAAATACAAACTAACGTCTAATGACAGAAAGCAGATCAGTGTTTGCCTGAGGCAAAGGCAAGAGGAGCAGGAGGAAAGGGATTACAAAAGGGGAAAGAGAAAACCTTCAGGGTGATTATCTTGATTGTGACCTTTAGAATGATTGCCTTGATTGTGATTGTTTCACAGGTGTATACATATGTCAAAGCTTATGAAATTGTACACTTTAATATACGCAGTGTGTTGTACATCAATTATACCTCTATAAAGCTATTTTTTAAAAGCAAAAAAAAAAAAAAAAAAGATAATCTACTTGAAACTCTTACCCAGTTTTTTCTTCTTCAATATGGACTCCTAATTTTTCCCTTGACTACCTATGTGTTTCTTATTCCTTCCATCATGAGAGACAACTGACTAAAATGAGCATGAGTATGAGGTACCTAAGATTAGTTCTAGAATATAGAATAAAGGGACTAGAGTGGTTCATTTAACATTCCAAATTCCAATACGTATTTACTTTTCAAAGGATAAAGAAAAATTACTTAAGTTTCTCTCACCTGGTTTCCAAATCTTTTTGGAGATTCAGCTTTTCACTTAAAAGTGCGTCAATCTTGGATTTTGATTCCTTGAGTTGATTCTGTAATGACTACAAACATTTCATAGAAAAATAATTAACTTTCCTAGGATATTACTATCTTACTTTATAAAAAAAGTATTTAGTAGTTATGCAGTCCCCATACCATTAGAAGGCCTTTATAAGTTGGTGAGGCATCTAGATTTCTATAGTCTTTTTCTTCTTCTGACTGACTTTCCTCTTCTTGATATTGCCTATGGAAAGATACATGCAATGTACTACTTATGAAAACTCTACCTTCAAAGAAAAAAATCTAGCTAACAAAAATTAAACCAATCTAATAAGGGCTTAATATCTTAAACATGAATTAAAATTAATCCATATTTTCTATTTGCTCTCATAAAGAACAGTATTAGAACATGCTACTATGTAATATTATATATATATATTTACTATCTCTTTACTTAGAATGTATGATCCATGAGGACCAGAACTTTGTCTTGTTCACCACTGTTTCTCACTGTCTAGAAGAGTAGGGGTCATAGAGGTGGTGAAAAAACACTTGTTGAATGAAGAAACAAGCAAAACATAAGTGGAACATCTATGTTCTTTTAAAAAACACATTCTCAGGGCTGGTTGGTTAGCTCACTCAGTGAGTGGTGCTAATGATACCAAGGTAAAGGGTTATCAGCTAGCCACCAAAAAAAAAAGAAAAAACATTCTCCACATATTTTTTTCCTTCTAGTATTTTTAGGCCACCAAAAATATCTATATGAAAAAAATGCAGAGCATAAGGTGGACAAGGCAACAGACTTAACAGTCATGGTTCAAGTCTTGACATTAACTGTGTTATCTGAATAGGTGAATCTCTCAGAATTTTGTTTCTCATCTGTAAAACAGAAACATTATCTGTCATGTCTACCTCACAAGATTGGCGTGAAAAGCAAATAAAAGATTTTAAAGCACTTTGTGAACTGCAAAATGTTAGCAAATCAGCATTACTATTTTAACAATCTTAATGAACACCGTGCTGTCCTATGTGGTAACCACTAGCTACATATGGCTAATGAGCACTTGAAATACAGCTTGTACAAATGAAGAACTTTTAATTTTATTTAATTCTAATTAAACTTTTAATTTAAAAATTGAAACAGTGTGAAATATTTTTCCATTAAACACGACATGATTGTTTAGGAGAACGTTTCACTTTGTTGCATCACGTAAGGTATAACTGTTGTAGCACAGCGAGCACTGGGTGCATACATGATTTCTAGTATTACATACTATCACATCATCAGGCTAGTCAGTGTTGAGGGACTGATTCAATTCGAATGATTTGTTTATTCCTACACACCAGTATAACATAGTAATGTGTTTATTTTAAGCATATGCAGAGTCCAATGATGAGAAAAACTCTGGACAACACTGCCCTTAAAAAGTAGATGATAAGCAGAGGGACTTCTTCCTCTGCAAGAGGCTCATGTCCCGTCTCTCTTCTTCCTTTGGTCTTTTATACCTTCTTCTACTGTGATTCCTGTTTATCCCACTCAGGCCTCCAAATTTAGTCTGTCTTCCTTCATCTTTCACCTCTTTCATCTTCTTTTCTTTACTAATGTAATGCTTATTAATTATTGTACCCTTTCACAGTACTCCTACTTCTTCAGGTAATACTAAGATCCTATTTGTAGTTCTCAAAATCTAACTTGAAGTTGCTACAATCTATCAAGTTAGTACTCCTAGAAAAGAGACTGAGTTTATAAACTCTCTTCAGTCTACGACTCCTCAAAAACCCCTCTTCTTAGGAGAGAGTCTTTTATAACCGCAAAGTTTAAAGGACTTCTAATTTTCTCATTTGAAAAAATATTACTTAAAATGTATCTCATATTTTCTTCCTATCTCCCTCTCCCTCAGTGAGACATTCAATCCAAATATCTGACCCAAGCACAGTTTGTATAGGTCAAAGTATTTCACTTCAGCTAGACCATGGATGAAAGGCTTTCTAAGTTAAAATGTGATTCCTCTCCAAGTCTCTCATTCTTCAACCCCAGATTTTTACTACAAATTCATAACTAAATTCAATAGCACCACTCCAATGGCCTAAATCCTTCTATCATCTTTAGTCAGAGAACCCCAGTTTGCAGAACTCCAGAGGCACCTCTCATGCCATATTCTATACAAAAGATTTCATGATAGCTATGTTAAATCTTCTCTACTCTTACTAAAAATTCCAAATTCTCTCTTCAACATCTAGATCAGGGGTCAGCAAACTGCTGCCCGCAGGCTGTATATCCAGTAGGCCATGGTTTTTTTTGTTTGTTTGTTTTGTTTTTTTGCTTTTTTTAAAAAAAGATGACTGGTAAGGGGATCTTAACCCTTGACTTGGTGTTGTCAGCACCACGCTCTCCCAAGTGAGCAACCGGCCATCCCTACATAGGGATCCAAACCCGTGGCCCTGGTGTTATCAGCACTACACTCTCTCATGTGAGCCACGGGCTGGCCCTAAAGCCATGGGTTTTTCTAATTAGTTTTATTGGAACACAGCCATGCCAATTAATTTACATATTATCTATGGTTGATTCTGTGCAATAATGCAGAGATTAGTAGTTGTGAAAGAGATGGTATGATCTAAAATAATCATAATCCAGACCTTTACAGAAAGAGTTTACCAACCCTTGAATCTAGATTAGAATTTACTGATGACCTAGACCAAAAGTTACAACTAGTATTTGGTTTGGACCCTATAATTTTTTTAGAAACATCGAATTAATTGTGAGTATTAAACACCTCATTTCATTTATAAATCCAACCTTCTAGCTTCTCTTGAAAAGTCAGTTGATCTAGCCACACCAGGCTCACATTCCTGCACAGCATCAGCTGGCTATAGCTGTTTAGTAACTGCCCTCTTACGACAGATGGGGCACAGCTCTCCAATTTGCTGTAGTCCCCACCTAACTTCTTCACTTTTCCACTATCTTCCTGACTCTGTGAGCATAAGAGTTTGCAACCTGTCAAGCCATGAAATTCATTTTCTTTCATTTTACTCTTACATACTATGATGATTAATTTTATGTGTCAACTTGGCTAGGTTACAGTGCCCAGCTGCTTGTAGCAACACCAGTCTAAATGTTGCTATTAAGAAATTTTTTAGATGTGACAAATATTTAAATCAGTTGATTTTGAGTAAAGCAGATTACCCTTCATAATGTGAGTAGGCCTCATTTAATCAGTTAAAGGCCTCAGGAATAAAGACTAACTCCAATGAATTCTGCCTCCGGACTGCCTTCAGTCTCAAGACTGAAACATTAACGCTTCCCTGGGTCTCCAGCCTTCCTTGCAAGTTTCCAGTTTGCCAGTCCTAGAATTCTATGAGACAATTCCCTAAAATAAATGTCTCTCTCTCTCTCTCTCTCTCTCTATATATATATATATTAGAGGTCTTCAAAAAGTTCATAGAAACATTCGTATTATCTTTTAATTCCATTTTTCCAGGAACTTTTAGAAGTATACACACATACCTTATTCGTTCTGTTTCTCTTGAGAAACCTCACTAATACGTATACCTATAATTCTATCACCCAGTTCTTCTGTATTAAAGGAAAAAGTACTAACCTTCTTTCCAAAGCAACTGATGTCTTCTCATTCATTTAGATCCTACTTTTGCCCAGCATTTTAATAAGTGCTCTTCATAAGTTACCATCCCTACCTATCAACACACCAACAAATCCCTTGAACTACAGCCAGATTGGCTTAATTGCTGTGCCATAAAAAGCCTTACACTTTTATATCTATGTACTTTTTGCTCATGGCATCCAAGTAGTCTAAAATGCTTTACCTTTTTTTTCTTAGTGCTTTTCTTTTTTTTTTTACTGTAGCAGTACGCCACCGGGCCGGCCCCAAACAGCTACTGTTTTAATGATCTTATATTAAAGCATTTTAGCTTATACAGTCTTAGGTATCCTTCAGCTTTTTTAGGCGAGTAAGAAGTGTTGGGCCGGCCTGTGGCTCACTCGGGAGAGTGCGGTGCTGATAACACCAAGGCCACAGGTTCGGATCCCTTATAGGGATGGCCGGTTCACTCACTGGGTGAGCGTGGTGCTGGCAACACCAAGTCAAGGGTTAAGATCCCCTTACCAGTCATCTTTAAAAAAAAAAAAAAAGTAAGAAGTGTGTTTTAATCTATTTGCTTGATTTTTCACTGACATTTTGTCTTTATCTTATAAATTTGCATACTAATTAAGCTGACTTTGGTAGATAGCTAATTTAATTCTATGCACTTTGCGGATATCCTTAGTTACTAGGATATACTAGTAGGTAGATGATATCATTAGTACAAATTATAATACTTCAACAAAATAAAAGGAAACGCCATTTCTGCTATGACTAATACTTTGGTGATTATTAAATATTCATATTTTAATATAAATACAATGCACTTTCACATAAGTAGTAAAATACTGTCTTCAAGATCTTTATAAAAAAGAATATCATAGTGACATATTATGTAGATTTCCACAGCTATAAAAACTTTTGGTGCGATTCATTACTGGACAATAACTTTAAAAATTGTAATACAGTATTATTCATACCTTTGTGTACGAATTTTTCTAAGTTTAGACTCATAGTAATCAATTAGGCAAAGCAACCTAGAAAACAGAAGATATATTGAATTATTCTCAAAATGTGGTATTAGAGCATCTACTATTCTCTATACATGGGGCTGGTTAGTTAGCTCAGTCAGAGTACAACCTTGTAACACAAAGGTCATGGGTTTGGATCCTGGTACTGGCCAACTGCCAAAACAAAAACAAAACAAAAATACACATATTCTCTACAAAATTTCAAATTACAATGCTAAAAGTAGGTATGGATTACGGCAGGCTTAAAAAAATGTAAGTGATTCTCCCCAGAAGCAAATATACTAAGTCACATATTTTACATTAATTTCAAAGTACGTATTTTAATTTCTTTGCTCTAGTTTATATGAGACATAACCAACCGCAAGATAAAATCAGCTTTAAAAAACAAATGAAATCTAGCTACAGATCAACTTATGTAGTAAACATTACTGTCTATCCAAGACGGTATGAGGAACTCTTTTGCAGAGATAGGCAAATACTCTGTTTTGAGTGACAATGCGCTCTTCTTCCTCCTTTGTTAATCTATAGACATCCTTTTGCAAAGAAGCGATAATCTCTTGTTGCTCCATTCGTTTTTTCTTGTAATGTTGGCATTTTGCCTGTAAGAAATTTTTTAAAAACATAATTATGATATGTACATCTAGGATATGCTGTCCTAACAATACTGTATATGAAGGCATCTTCAGTTTCTATTCAGCTGTTTCATTCAATAACCAGCATTGAGGCTATTTTTAAATAGGAACAAGCTCCTGGACCATTAATATGTCACAAACCCAAAAAATATAACAAGTAAAATTGCTGTAAAATGAGAAAGCTATGGCTTATCTTGCACACACTCAAGATTTCATAATAAGGAAAAAAAACCCTCAAGAATCTCCATAAAACATATATGTTTACATTTATATAAAAATAATAAGCAGAAAGAGACCAATATTAAGAATGTTAAAAAGAACCAGGAATCAAAATTAAAATTCTTAAGTGATGAACAATAATTCAGGATTGCAAATGGTGTAGTCAACTGAAGCATTCATGCAATGTAGGAGACTGCAAACTCAGATTAAGTCCCATAACCAAGAAGTTAACATCAATAAATAATCAGTATGTACTCTAAGATTTACACCATGGAATATAAATCTTGGACATTCTCTTTCCTTGTCTTCAGTGAGATATCATTTGCTCAGTTTTCTTATTCTCTAGCTTCTATCCCTCAGTATCCTTTGAAATCTCATTATCAAAAGCACTATCACTCTTATTATTAATACACTTTTACAAAGCTCAATGAGAAGCCTTTTCCCCATCTGGCTCGTACATTACAAGACACATCCCTTTTAGAACAGGACACGTGTTCATCTGCCAATGGTGTCAAGTTTGCTGAGACACAGCAACCTTTAGATGGAAGAGCGGTCTCAGCTTCTGGTACCATTCCATCTTCCAGTAACTATAGGTTACAACCAGAATTGATCCTCTGCCTCAGCCTTCCCTAGAAGCCACTTCTCTGAAAATTTGATTTTTCTTATTGTTGCTGTTAAGATGCAGTACAAGCCCAAGTTCTAGCCACCTCTTGAGTTCCACATCCCTGAGTTTCTTTCACATCTATCTCCGTGAAATATACATGTTAAAAACTTACTTGTTTTTCTCTTGTTAATCTGTCTTTTGTTATACAGCATCAGCTGAGAACCTAAAAGAGTATAAGTAAAAATATGTTTTTCCTTCCCTGCAAAGGAATGGAATGCATAACTAGTAAGTAATGGAATGGAGCAACCCAGCAACATTGAGAGGCAGCAATTCCTTGGGTTTGCCGATTTCTGTTGCCACTATTCGGGGACTTAAAAAAACAAACAACTAAAACTAGTAAGTAATGGAATGGAGCATCCCAGCAACATTGAGAGGCAGCAATTCCTTGGGTTTGCCGATTTCTGTTGCCACTATTCGGGGACTTAAAAAAACAAACAACTAAAACTAGTAAGTAATGGAATGGAGCATCCCAGCAACATTGAGAGGCAGCAATTCCTTGGGTTTGCCGATTTCTGTTGCCACTATTCGGGGACTTAAAAAAACAAACAACTAATTTCAGTTGATCAAATTAACATAGATAGATTTCCCCAACTCCAGGTATCTGTTCCTCAATCCTATTTCTGTCTATCTGTTCCTTAAATGGCTGATTGGCTGATTGGAGCATTAGACATCCTCTGTACCAGTTCGTAAGCTACACAGCAAATCTCTGGGACCTGGAACAAAGAGCTAATAGCACCATAAATCAGTTATCACAGATAAAACTATCTGATAGAAAATGCATGACACTCCATTCAAGTAACCCCTTACCAATGAACTCTCAAGCATCTGTTTCTTTGAAGTGCCTAAAACCCTGGTAAATTCATAAGACTTATGTTTCTAATAATTTAACTTTATTATTTATACCGACTTCTCTAAAAAGATAAATAGATATCTTCCACTCTCCCCCACCCCCGCAAACACACACTGGTCTCCCCTGCTCTCAACTCCGTCAGACAGGGACCCAGCACCGTTACAGCTCCCGATAGCTGCTTTCTCACATCAATAAGTTAAAGGACTTCACATTTCCACATGCTCTATATCTAAGAGCAAGGTCAAAACCAAATGCATATAGAAATATTTCCAAAATCCCCCTCCTTTTAGAGAGGTTTTATAAATGTACTATTGATGAGGAAAGCAACCTAACAAAGCCTATATATACAACAGGTCCTATAGAGTTGTGAACTCATATGAACCAATAATACGCAACAGGTACTATAGATTTGTGTCAGCAAAAACCACTAAAGGACTCAATGTTTATAATGAGATGTTTGTAATGATCAGAAATATCTCATACAACAATGGTTATCATCACAAAAGATTCATTTTCTTTAATCACAATAAACACCCAAGTTTTAATATAAGGTTTTTTGAATTAGGAAACTAAGCATTCAATATTATAATATTGCCATTTCTATAAAAAGAAGCCAGGTTTTTTGAGGAGGTTCTTTTTTGTGGCTGGCTGGTATGGGAATTCAAACCTTTGACTTCAGTATTACCAGCACGACACTATCCCAAGTGAGCTAAGTGGCCAGCCCAAGAAGCCATTTTAGACATATAAAGTTCTAGATGTCTACTAGACATCCAACAGAGATATTAAGTAGACAGGTGAATATGAGTCTGGAATTATAAATTTGGAAGCCATGAATTAGATTGAGATCAAGGGAGTCAGAGTATACAGAAAAGACAAAAGATCTAAGGGCTGAGGACTGGGGAATTCCAATATTAACAGGTTAGAGAGATGAGCAGACCAGGAGCTAAGGAATTGAAGAATGACCACTGAGATGACAGGGGAAACAAAAAGAGAGGATGTTCTGGAAACCAAACAAGGAAAATTTCAAAAAGGTATCAGTGATGGTAAGGACTACTTACTATCAGTAAGGTAAGAACCACTGAATTTAGAAAGATGGAAGTCAAACTGGACTGTGATGAACTGTTTTAGTACCAATGATCATCTAAGAAAGTATATAACTCAGTACCTGTAAAGTTTTCTGCTCCTTTTGAAGATCTTTCACTTTATTCTGTTGCTGGCAAACCCTATTTAGGGATTCATCCTCCAATTCACCAATCTTGGATTTTACACTCTCCATAATTTGTTCCAAATCATTAGCCCGTTTTTCCTGATCTGCTGCTCGGCTTTGTTCTAGCTGAAGTTCATTTCTAATTTAACAGACACACAATTCCTTCCCTTAGTATTAAAAATAAATCACCAAACATATCCACCTAAAAAATGCTGACTTTCTAAAATTTCTTTGAATTCTTAAAATTTCTACCTTATAATAGAAACTAACAGAAGAAATATAGGGTACCATTACATATCCATGCTATTACCAAAAGATTAACAAATTAGAATTTACCTATTTACCTATAAAAATATTCCTAAAACTTAATATTGAATCAAAGTGGAAAATTAAATTTCAAGATCCTTTTCAAGGCAGTTATTTTTAAAATGCATACAAATAATTAAAAAAAGACTTTTTCCATTTTCTTACTTAAGCTGTTGATTAGTTTCTATGAGCTCCTGTATCATGTTCTGTTGACGTCCTGTTTCTTCCACCAACATTTTCAAATTCTGTCTCATCCTTTGTGATGACTGTTTGTCAAAAATGATGAGATCTATATTTTTAAAAATATAATACAAATACTAAAAATAAAGGTAAGGTAAAAAATAATTTTAAGATAAAAATTTTTTTTTTTTTCCCTTTTTTTGTCTTTTTTCGTGACCGGTAACGGGATCGCAACCCTTGGTTTTTTTTTTTTTCCCTTTTTTTGTCTTTTTTCGAGACCGGTAACGGGATCGCAACCCTCGGTGTCGCGCCTGCACCACGCTCAACCAGTGAGCGGACCGGTCTCTATATGGGATCTGAACCTTCGGCGGGAGCGCTACCGCGCTCTCAAGCGCCGCACTCTACTGAGTGCGCCACCGGGCCGGCCCTAAGATAAAAAATTTTAAAAGGTACCGTGCTCCCAAGCGCCGCACTCTACTGAGTGCGCCACCGGGCCGGCCCTAAGATAAAAAATTTTAAAAGGAAAAAACTTTTTACCCTAAGAGCAAGAATAGAATCTGATTACCTTTAAGATCTGTTCTTTTGACAAGGGACAGAGGTTTTAAGCCATGCATCATCAACAGCACATTTATGCTTTCCCATTCTGCTTCTTCCTGCTACAATTACAAGGAGAGAGAAAAGAATCAACTTTAAGATAAAAAGTGAAGAAATACCCTCTTTTATACAATTTCCTGTGTTTTCAGAATAACAGAATTTTTTCTCCAAAATGGTTTTTAAAAAAATTTTAGGCGCGTATGATTAAAATTAAAACAAATTTATTGTCTCTAAAAAGCATAGCAATAAAGGGAAGTTTGCAAATAAGCACAAATTACTGCATTATATAAAATACTTATATGTACATATTTTTTGGCACATACTTTGAGAAACACTGGCTTAATACATTTAAAGTTTACCTGTTTTTCAATCATGAGTCTGTCTGTTGACTGACAGGACTCCTGGGCTTTAGAGGCTGCTGGAGACATAGTTTCTTTTGTAGAATCAAAAGAAGTAGAGATTGGCAATCAAAAAAATTTGAGTTTCCTAAATGAAAAAAGAAAAAAGTGCAATAGGAGTTAAACTAAATCATATTTAAAAGAAACCACTACTCTTGCGGGGGTAATTTAGGCCATTCCTGTGTCAAACCTTTTATAACTTCCTAGATAGCTGATTGTAAGAATCATTTGAATAAACCCTATCTCATAATGTTCTCCTTTAGAAATAAAACACTCTGGGGTTTTATACACATATACATACATATATATACACACGCACAGGATGAGAGAGAGAAAGAATTATTTGTTTTGACTAGATAACATGTATAGCACGTGACTGTTATAGGACAGTCTAACAATCACTGGACTCCAAGGATGAATAAAGTGCCACTTTCTTAGGCCGTCTTTATCTCTAAGTAGATCAGAAGCTAGCAACAGAGGATTCTGTGTTTGATGAGCACACACAAAAAGTTTATATTTGGTCTACCATATACCATCACTTGCTCTTGTTATCTAGGACTCTGCCATTCTAGAGGAAAATATTTCCTTGTTTTCTTTGATATAGATGTAATTCCTCCTTTCCGGAAGCAAAATCACACACATTCATTAAGATCATAGAATTTTAGAGCTTGTGGGAACCTTGGAAATTGTTTAATCCAAAATCTCTAGCTGTTCATAGCTGGCAGGAAAGACTGTAGGGAGAGTGTACCAATCCATCAGGTTCTGTAATCATCTGAGATCCAGACAGGTGAAATGACCTTCACAAGAATGATAAGAAGTAGGCTTCCTGGCTGCCAGTTCAGTGTTCCTTTCAAAGCACCCTTCTCCCTTCATGTATCTGCTTCAGATAGTGAAATCCATCTAAACAATTTACTAGTCACCAATAACTTATTTCTAGATAAACCTAATAATACATTACAAATTCTCAAATTCTGTCATATTTGCTGCTTGACATGACAGATTACTATCTCCCCTTCAAATTTTGGTCTCTTTTAACAACTTCATTACCCACTGCATTAATCTCCCCAGATTTTATTTTAAATAAAGCTACTTTTGGAAAGTGTCAGCCAACTTCAGCTGCTACCTTTCAGCTGGTTTTGTTTTTAACATTATATTAGAGAAATTTCAAAAACACACCAAAGTAGAGAAAGTGTATAATAAACTCTATATTCATCAACTCAACTTCAATGATAACCAACATTCTTCCATCTTGTTATCTTTCCACATACATACTCTTCTGAAACAGAACTTCAATATTGTTATCATACCCAATAAAATTAATAGTAATGCCTTATTATTTAATACCTAGTCCATGTTCAATTTCCCCCCAAATGTCTTTAAAATATCATTTTTTTTTTTTTTTTTCAAATTAGGATCCAAACAAGAGCCAAATATCTATTTGGTTGATATTCTTTTCTTAAGTCTCTTTGTTTTTGTGTGTGTTTTTTTGGGTTTTTTTTTTTGTTTGTTTTATTTTGTCCTTTTTGAGACTGGCCGCACCGCACTCAGCCAGTGAGCGCTGTGAGCGCACCGGTCATCCCTATATAGGATCTGAACCCGCGGCGGGAGC